CTGGAGGAGAAGCATTATTTTTTATGAAATCCAAGGTCCACTGGAGTCAACAGCAACCCTCCTCACTAACTTTGCCTCAAGGCCTTCTCCAGTGAATTTCCACTTCTCTGGGGTTTCTCTCCTTTTCATCGTACAGCCTGTGTAGCCTGCAGCTGCTATAAAGAGGAGAGGTGGCTCTCACCTAATCCAATGGGACAGGATCTTTTTGTAGATCCCACTGTGATAACGTAAGTAACTGTTGTTAAACCTAACTAATCAATAATACCTGTGAATAGGTAGGTACCTATAAAATTGTTTGTATTTGATGTATCCACTTGTTCCCACCCCTCAAATCTCACTTCTTCTAAGATCTGATCCTGCAAATACTCAAACACAAGAATAATTTAATATGTGATCAATCATGAAAGCATCAATGGGACTATTCAAATGGCTCCCTGCAAAGGTTTATCGCTGAACAGCACATGCTGAACTGTGTGTAGGTTACACAAAAAAAATATATATATTTCACATACTTACCTACTGATACAGCTCTTATTGTGCCCTAGGAACTAAAGAGGGAAGCTTATAGAGACTTACTCATTCTATCAAGAGACTGAGATTTCTCAGATGATCCACAAAGTACGAAATATGAACATCTAAATTATCCAGCAGTTCAGAAAATACTGATTTTAAATTGGCTTAGATAGGCTTCAACCTGAAATATATTAACTGCAATCTGTCTACAATAGGTTAATAATACACTGAAATCTCTAAGGGGTTTTTTTGTGTTTGTGTGCATGCCAAGGAATATACTAAATGTCCTCCTCATTTTCTCCCCTTCCTATCCTAACCTGTAGCCAGAATCACAAACCATTCAATGAACTGCAACAGAGAAGGTAGTTGGTATTTAATTGTTAATGAGTTAGACCGCACATGTTTGGTATCTGTAGGTATCACTAAAAATGTTGTGATTTTGGTGTTAGTTCTCTTGGGTTTGAGATCATTAAGTACTGTAAACAATGTATAAGTAAAAACATTAACTACAAGGTGCTGAGAAACATTTCTAGCACACAGAGAAAATGACTGACTTCAAGTTAGAAAAAACCTCTCTGGCATGAAACAGTGACTACTGCTCGTGGAATTTTATGAAGTGTTTTACTATCTGTCCCTTTTGCAACCACAGGAAGATAGCAGACTTTCTAATGTGTCTTAAGAGCAATACCATTTTAAGGAATGTATTAAATAATTATACTAGTGTACATGCTGTAATTTGCTAAATGCTTTTCAACTCTACAAAGACACAGTTCTTTTCAAAAACAAAAACAAAAAATTGGCACCCAATTGCTAATTAGTGGACTAGAAGACATGTTCTTCTGACCTTCTGTCAGATTTAAGTTTTCTAAACTGCTTGTACTGCATCCATCTTTCTGTGGCTCATAGTTCAGCTATGTAGTTTACTTATTTTTTTCCTCAGAAAATGGATTTGTTTTCTGTGTCATAGCATTTTTCTCTTTTTAGCACTAGCATATTATAGTTAAAAAAAAGTTTATGTAATAGTCTATTTGCATCTTTAATATGTTTTGTTTATTTTAAAAACCAAGAGCTGAGCATGCACATTACCGATGCAGAAAGCATAGTAATGGAACAACAGACCTTTACTTGTCAGCTGAAATAATGTGTGCATTCAACCAAATTTTTCCTTTTAAATTAGAAATTAGAAAGTTAAATGTATATGCCAAAATCAGCTATAACAAAAAGAGAGGAGGTGACCCTAGTACACTAATCTCCATTTTGAACGCCCTAAATGTTCATGTAAGACTTCTCAAAGTGCCTGAATTAGTTGGATACCTAAACCTTACCGAAATTTTTGTGGGACCTGGGTGTCTAGCTCTAGAAGAATACTTTGAAACTCAGGATTTTAGTATTAATTTAATTTCCAGCTAGATCCTTGAGCTAGGCAAGTGATGAAGAGCAAGTGATGGAGATACATTTTTTTTTAAAAAAACACCAGTGACCTGGAAAACTGCTGAATTTCGTAATGATCTTAGGTCAGACATGTAGTATTGATTATTTACCTAGCACAGTAATTCATGCCAAATCACCTGTCTTTAATAATATTTCAATGCTAACTTCATAGTTTGCATTATTGTATAATGTTAGAACGTTCCTCAATTCATCTTGAAATGTTTGGCTTTTTGATAGGTTCACACAAGCCCACAACAAATATCATATACCTTCACATACATGCAGGATATATATTCATGGAGATAAGATGTGGAAAGATCACTAACGTATAGATATGACTATATCAATCAATTTAAAATATTTTGATTTAAAGCAATTAAATAATACTAATATAGCGTGCAAAAAAGTGCAATGTAACAGTTCTTGGCATTTTTACATGAAATGTAATAAAAGGGTACAGTCCTTGATAATAAAACGCTTGGCCCTATGAAGATAGAGAGGAAAATTCTTATGAGGTTGCTGATGGTCTGATTCAGAAGTCATGGGACCCACACAAAGTCTGATTTTCAAAACCTAATGGAGACTTTCCATTAGCCCCAACAGACTTTGGGTCAGACTCTTAAAAGCGTATGACTGCCTACAAATGCATTGTGCAGAAGCCTGGCCCACAGGCTCTTCCCCATATGCTAAAAAATAAAAATACCTCTTCATATCAAGAATGCTAGAGCTTCAAGATCGGTAAGAAATAAGAAAGTAGTAGGTGTTACTAAGAAACCTACTATTCTAGATGCATACACTGAGACATAAGAAAATCAACCATGTCATTACGAGATGTCCTCCAAGACATCTAATGGTCATGCAAAATGCCTTCCTATTGACAACATAGTTTTCTGACAGAAAGCGTACACACTCACTGACAACATGCCCAACAACTCATTCCCATCGGACTTTTAAATATTGCAAGCATTGTCCTCTTCCAGGCACCCAAGCTTGTGTCCAGGGGATCATGTGGTGAAGGCAGTGGAGCCGGCAACTGTGATGAGGCTTTTGAGTGAGTAGTGTCTCCAGCCCTACAGTCCACAATGGACTGAATCTTCCTCCTTAGTGTATTGCATTACAGTGAAAAAAATGACAAAAAAAGGAAAGAGGAAGGGAACGGGAAAAGGAAAAGCCTACCAGTTAGCCCAAATATCAGCATTTGTCTTGGATGTGCTCAACACTGACGGAAAGCCAAGAGAAGTTGTTCAAAGGTTTTTGCATCAGGCCATTTCTCCTCCATTAGGTATGTTCATTTTCTTCTTGTGAAACTAGTAACAAAACTAAATGCTACAGATTATTTACAAGAGCAAACAAAAAGGACCGAAAAAAAAAACGGCGTGAAAGAGCTTTCAGAAGTGGAGACTGGTGACTTGCCAGGTAATGGTCGGAGACTAACCTAATTATATGGGAGTCTCTACAGCAGCTTTGGTCGTGGTTGCTTCTGTGATTCTGTTAAAGATTCAGCAAAAAGCAGAGTTGGACCATTCGTTTCATTGTAGTTTCTAACAGAATTTTCTCAAACGACAGATTTCTCTTGCCAACTGTATTTGGTAACCAAGTGTAAGTGAAATCAAAGGCCCTTCTTACAGGTCACGAAAATATAGACTGATTCAGGCAAATATTAGTCTCAAGCTTCTTTCTTAGAGAAGCTTTGGGCCTCGCATCATATTAGGCTCATTAGGAGATCTATTTTCATATAACTTCGTTTCTTAATTAAGAAGACATATTTAACTACAATTTTCATCCATCCTGCTTCAGCAGCAGCTAGGACAGAACAAAATCCTTTACTCAAGAGGGCTTCCCAGCTGTGCTGTTGCTTCAGACCCATCATTTCTCCCCCAAGCTGCCCTCAGGCGTCTGCTGCACAGTCCTGGCTTTGCTCGTGCAGACAAAATCAGTGGACGGCAGGGGATGCCTGATGCGTGCATAGATCTCAAAACCTTTTTTTCCACAAAATGCTGTTTTTTCAAATAGTGTTGTTCCCATCTGTGTAACAGTTTGTACTCTGCATCTTTAAAAGTAGGCATGTAAAACTGGAAAGATTTTGTAACCAGGATTAAATATCCACTACCTTTAATTATTGCACAATTAAAATAATAATGGTAGGCTTTTTTGACTAATCAAATAAAAAAGAACATTTAATTGAACATTTCATGAATGTTTCACATCAATCAGGAAATAAAATACTCTTGAATTTTCATTGCAATATTTGCTTGTGTTACTGAGAGCTCTTTAAGGCATCAATGAATGTTACAAACCCATTTATTTACAGCATGTTTGCCCTCACTAGGTTTGAAGGGTGCACAGGAAAACAGAAAATGTTCCAAAAATACTGTGGCTATAAAACATAATTAGATGGCAAGTATGTGAACAACAAAAGTTAAAATCCCTGAAAGTAATGAGATTCATTTGATAATTGTATGAATGCAAGATAAATTTTGTCCTTTTAATTTGTTCTCTGACCACTGAGGACGCAGCTTTATGGACAACTTTCCAGCAGCACCTTGATCTAAGCAGTGACTGCTCTGAAGTCTCTGGATAATCTGCTAGATTATATTTCAGATGGATTAACCCCCCAACCCAGCTCACCAGGCAGCCACAGTAAACACATGTGTTCATACAGGGAAAACAGAAGGGGAGAAAAAGTAAATAAACGTGAAAGGACAGGTTTTCTACAGACATAAAGTACATATGTTTTCCTCTCCTTTTTTTTTTTTTAGGGATGCTCAGATTCTTGTGCAGTCCCATTTTTAGTGCTGGAGAGCTAAAAAACACAGCAAAAGAACAAGAGTTGCAATAACAGCACAAGAAGGAATGGCACTGAAGTGTTTGTCTGATCAGCTGACAATCTCTCCAAAAAATGCAATTTAACTCCTAGAAAGACTTCCCTGTTAATGCAGCCATACTGTAACCTGCCGTATGGTTCAGATAATTGATTTGAAATGTGAAGTGATAGACGAGGGCCCCATTTGTCACATCTTCCCCTGCAGATATGAGAAGAAAAAAACAGAACTCACCATTATTCACCAGGACATGGAGTGGACAATTCTTTGCTCTAAACCGCTGCACAAATTGCCGTATAGACTTCATGGAAGCCAAATCACAGTATAAAAACTCCACTGGGAGAGAAGAGGAGATGAACAAAAAGAGAGTTAAGTCAGTTACAATGACATAAAAACACACTTACAGACATCAACAAGGACTCCTGTGATAATGTCACCAGGAAAGTAAAGATTCTAAAAATAAAGCAGGTTTTTGAAAATTATGGGTGAACCTGGTCTCAGAAGGTTCCTTCTTTCTCCTTCCTTCCTTCATTTCTGTTTTTAAACTGTAGATTCTTCACAGAGCAAATATGAGGAATGCTGCTGCCAGGAGGTGAAGAAGGGTATCAAACAGACCAAATGTGTCCCAGTCCTACTGTTTTTCCTACTGCTACCATTTAGGAAGAGGGGCTACAGCTCTTCAGCGCTGAGATGATCAAGACATGGCAGCTGGAAATCAAATGGGGAGAGGAGAAGCCACATTGGGCACCACAATGTCTCCCTGTGTTTCTGATGCCAAATATGCTGCCCTTTGTTTTTTTCCAGATTATCTGCTGAGTGTCTGTGGTCCAAACAGTGATGGAGTCTGACAAGGCGTTATAAAACAAAGCTTTATTGAGGCAGTAGGAAAGACGAGCAACAGCGTGCCCATACGGCGATTCGCCCCATCACCAATAGCAAACATGGCATCTTAAGTGATGCCATGGCTCTGGTAGACATCCAGGGACACATGGCAGCAACAACCAGTCATGTAAATGCCTTTTGAGTGCGGGTAAGAGTCACACTGCCCCTTGGCTCCAGCAACGGCAGTGTGACTTGAGGGGATCATACCTCACATGGGTCTGTGGGCGGCATCCCGCCTACGCTGCCGAGGTCACTCAAGGGGCAGGGTGGCAGGGGGCGGGGGGTGGCAGTCTGCCTACGCCAACGATGTTGGTCAAGGGGCAGGGTGTCAGTGTCTCGAAATATATTTAACACTGGTATGTTTTTATTTCCAAGAAAAAACATCTCTAACAAAAGCATCCTTTGTCCAAAGCATTAGTCAGCCATTGACCTTCACTAGAACACTACAAAATTAATTAATTAAAATAAAAAAGATTACTTAAATCCCCCAATAACTTTAAACCCATCAGGTCTGAAAATTCTCCTCCTATTGCAGTTGTTCAGCTTTCACCCCGACTCTCAGAGTACTGCTTCATCGGTTGCCTTGCCTTGCATGACAGCCACGACCAGGGTTATGAAGTGACAACAAGTGATGCTCCCCCCAACAGCAGTAGCTATCCCCACACAAACAATCCAAATACTTTAGAAACTCTGCAAAGGGGAAAAAGAAAGAAAACCGTGACCTCATCCACCTGGTTTAGCCTTGTAGAAAGTATACGTATTGCATGCCAGGCTTTTGGTTTGTTTCAGCATTAGCCATGTTTTAAGCAAGAAAATGTGAGTCTCTAGCGCAGATGTTATTCTCTCTTCTGGTTTGCTACATGTCGTGGTGGGACTCTGAGTCAGCTAGATGTTGTCAACTCCACGCCAGCCAGACCCAGTACACCAGGGCTCTGAGGTGGATTTGCCTGAACCTCTTCCATAAAGTGAATTTTCCAAGAAAGACCAAAAGGTGTTTCAACTTTAGAAAGTCAGACAGTACTGAGTCAAGTGACTAAGTCAAGCAGAAAGAAAGGTGAAGGCTGTACAAAGCATACTCCCCTTGCTCACTGTGTCCTTGCAGGGTGAGTTCAACAAACTCCCAGATTTCCTGAGCTGTGGCCACCTCTGCACAGATGCCCGGTCCCCAGGATGGTTTTGGCCACCACAGCTGAGGACTGGGGCTCCAGGTCCTCGCTGCGTTTTCCCCGCTCCCCTCCACCCTCCCACCTCGCGGCCCGAGGGCTGCTCCCCTGCGCTCCGTGGGAAGGAACAGCCACCCTCTTCCCAGCACATGGCTTCCCCCACCTCTTCCTGTGAAAGAAACAGCCTTTAAAAGAAAGGAAAATTAAAGATACACAGTTCTTTACACACGCTAAAGAAAGCCTTTCTGACAAGAACGTTAAACTGTTGGGTAAACAGGCTCCAACGCAGGCTGCAGTAAGAGACCTTTCCTGCTACTCTTTTCGCTGGTCCATCAGTGATGTTCATCCTGTCACAATTGAGGCTGTGAGCTATAATGCCTCTTTGTAGTGTGTCTGTACAATAAGAGTTTAGGAAGGCCTGCAGGCACAACAGCAAGCTAATAACAAAAGACAGTCACGGCTCTTATTAAAATCCTTTACAGTTCCTTCAGTTCCCTTCAGTTTTACACAATACAGGGCTTTAATAATCCCTATATATTTTGAACCTAGACAGTATTAGTCCTCTGAAATTGTCTTAGTGAATTTATATAAATACTCAGTGGCCTTTTCCATTTTAAAAAAAAAAAAAAAAGCTTAGATTCCAGTTTTAGAGATAGTGTAAATACATTTTTTCAAAAAGGCTGTAAAGTCATACTGTTTTGACGACACTGACCCATGAATAACACTGGACAATTTCTTGAGCTCCCTATCGACCTTTAGGAGGTCTGCAATTTTGTTTAATTTCACTGATGTCCTGCATCTGGAGGTAGTAAGGAAATGCAGAAGTTATTAACTCCTGTAAAAGAAGAGAGTTGTGCAGGTCATTCCTCTTGTGGCCTAGCAGCTATATAAAACCACATGAACAGCACTGTAATTGCTCAGATGCACAAAACCTGGTTGTACTAACTTGTTAGTAACTAGTGCAACAACAAATGGAGTAAAGACCTAGGCAAAGCTTTATGCTGACTTTGCTGTTGCTCTACTTCTCCAGGCAGCTCATCAAGGAAAGAGATTAGGGAAAGCATGATCAGCTTCTTAGCAGGCAGCCACTCACACTGCCAATAGAGCAGTCCCTTTTAATACAAAATATTCATCTTGGTACAGAAGGCATTGGACTTGTATTAGCTGCAGTATTTTGTGGCACAGTGCAAGGTCCAACCACTTCTTCACCACCTGTATGGACTGTGGCAACATTATTGACTCTCCTGAATTTTGCTAATGATGCTATATGTGCAAGGAAAGCAGGCCCCTGAGAACATTCACTGAGCTAAATTTTAATCTCTCCCCTCATCTGATCTCGAAATTGTCCTCTTCTGCATTGCTAACTACAATGGTGGTTAGATAACCAGTGTGCCAAGGCAAGTGCTTTTCAGGCGGACCAGTACAACCCCATCCTTCCTGGGAATTAACTTTTTGCTACATCTGTCTGATCTCCCCTCCCTTAATTTTGTAGTTTTGCAGAGCAATTGCTGTTGCTCGTTATGACTGTACAGCATACTAGGCCAAGGCTATCATTACTAAGCTTATTTACTTGCTTACTTGGGAAGCGTGTCATCATATTCAGTATTTGTAAAGCACTTGCCATCAAAAGACCAGAACATGCTTTGGAAAGGAAAACAAACAAACAAATCAAACCCCAAACTTCTTTTTGCTCACGGGGCAGAAACATTAATGGCCGAAGTCCTTGTTCATGCTTATTCGTGCATGGTGGCTCTTTGCCAGGGAGGCGGTCTCACTGGCGTGAGCGCCGTGCCGACTGAGGTGCCGTTCCACTCCAGAAAGAGTGCCAAAACACGGCTCCAAGTCTTGTGCTGACTCAGCGGTAGGGCCATGAACGGAAACCCAGTTTCTTCTTTGTCCCATAGTCTGAGTGTTTTATTTTTTTTAGCAGTGTACTGAAGAATTACACATCTAGAAGCTAAGGACAATGGTTAGTTTTTAGAATATTTCAAAGCACGCACAAATATACTAAGCAAGCCTTTTTTTTAAATGTCTTTTAATTAATAAAGACCAGTTTAATAATGTGAGCAAATGACCAAACCTGAACTTGAACTAGCAATGTGACTTGAATCACTTTTCAGAAACAATGATGGCAAAGGGTTTTCTGTATGGGATAGGTATGAGCAAAAAGAATAAATATGTGCAATAACAACAAGCAAACTGAAACATATGCCAAAATTAATATTTAGATATGTTACTTCTTACCTTTTTGGTTTGTCTGCCACTAGACTTCAAATTATTCAAGTACGTAGTGGTCATTATGCTTTTGAGTTTAATAACATGTTTTCAAAACTAACTGGTTCCTTTGATTTGCTGTATGCCATTAAGAACAAAAATGGGGAATAGAATTTACATATAGAATATCTGCAGCTAATGCTACTGAAATACTCTAACTCCATCCCATTTTACCTCTCCTCCTATACTTCCCTTTGCTTTCAGGTACTTCTAGAATGACAGACATGCCCGTATTTCTTTCTTCTTCAAGGAACAAGGATATGTTCCTTGTTCTTATTGAAATAGTCTTTCCAATGAAAGCAAGTGAGTACATAATTGTCAGACACTGGCTAAAATATTCACTATTAAAAATATTTTACTATTATTTTATTGTAATTTGATGACTCAGTTGTCAGAAAGTTATTAGCTAATAAAATATAAAAGGAGAATAATTTCCCAAAAGACAGCTAGAGTTACTTATGCCATTATTCACATATGAATAGATATGTATATGATGGTGCTACAATTGCTGCTTTGCCTAATTACTTTCTTTCAAACATGTATCTGCCAGGTGCAGCATCTTTCCAGTAACAGAGAAGTCGACATGATGTTTTTCAGGCTGCTCCTCAGTAAGGCTGTACGAATCCCACAAAGCTACGCTGGCTGACCGCACACGACACCACTGAGCACCTGTACAGCTCAGTGCCTGTTCCTGTGCTGTGCACCCTCTGCTCGCTTGGTCGTGGTAACTGCAGTCAAAGGACATGAAGGACAGGCACCCGGTGGCTCTTGGAGAGCTTTCTGACACCAAGAGACCCGCGAGAGCCCAGAGGAGCCCCAGCATTAGCACAGAGCCTGACACAGCCCCTGAGTGCACACGCTCCCTTGAGTTTCCCCCTTAGGGTCAACTTCCCCATTTCTGTCTATCTGCTTCTTCGCACTATTAGCACACCTTTCTTTTTAACACCTAGAGTTCCCCTCCTTTGCTTTTCACGCCAGCCCGGTTGACTCTGGTTGCACATTTCTTCTGTGTCTGTA